TACTTAAAGATACAATTTATATTATCTTAAAATAAATAAGGAATCCTTACGAAACAAGGATTGTAAAATTATATGTAGTAAGAAAATAGGTTAATAATCACTAATCAAGTGTATGCAAAAATATTATTGAAATTTTGTATTTTGCTATATTTTAATGTAATTTGCAATGTCGACATTATTCAGTTAAGAATGTTTTTGTATGCAAATTATAAATAGTAAAAAGATTTAAAAATTCTACATATATAAAATATGGAAAAAATTATAGGAAACCTTTTACACAATTTAATAAATGAATAATTATAAAATTTTAATAAACATACGTCTTTTATTAAAAGTTAAATGGCTAAAATAAAGAATTAAAAAAAAAAAATATTATTTACGATAAATCTCTTATTCTGCAATAATTTTTCAATTCAAGCATCTCATTGGATTTTCTCCAAGTTTTAAATAATAAAATTTTATTTACATATTTCAAGCTACAATATTCTGAATAAATCACATATAATTTTCACTGAATAATCTATTATTTTTACGTTGTTTCATAAAATTCTATTCTATTCGATAAGAAAAAATTACTTATGAGATTATTCAAATATTTTGATTACTGGTAGAATACATTTAACTTTAATTATCGTTCGCATTTCTATTTTAAAATAATTGAATAATATTCTCGTATCGATGTTTCAACGAAAAAATAAATCATTAATCAGATAAATAAAATACTACAAATTATTATAAAAACGCCCTATTCGGGAAAAAGATTTTTCACAATTTTTTAGCTTCTACTTTCAAATTTGAAAATTGAATTTGGATTTATAATCAAAGTTATACATAAAATAATACAAAATATCTCCTTCAATAATTCATATGCGAATTACATTCAATGTATCAAAATATAAAAATATATATATTTTCGTCTATTATTTTATGAATTTTATAATGTACATTATAAGCGCTTATAAACATTTCATATAATTATAATATCTACTGAATTTGGTTATTGTTTAATATAAATATATGTTTGAATAGAAAACTTGGACTAAAAAGCATACAAGTTTTTTAAATTTTAAAAATAAAAATTTCCTAATTTAGTTTGAATATTGAATATTGTGGTATTATAATATAAAAATTTGGGATTTGGAATTTAGGTAATTATATATATATATATATATATATGTAATTAGTAAAAACATTTTTTGACATTTTTACAAATTACTCAAAGGAAAATTTTAAATAACTCACAAATGGCTTTAATAATAAATCATAGTATTATTTGAAATTACGATGACAGTTGATGAGAGCTTATCATTCATTTTCTTTTATTGTTTCGTATTTTATTATAATCGTAATTAATAATAATATAGTTTTCTTATGATTTTATTTTAGCATAAAGCAAATTGTATGACAAATTTTGATTTATCAAGTTGACCAAATCTATTTATGTAAATTGTAATTATTGATGATAATTTTTTAATGTTTCCAATAGACAAAATAAATACTAGACAAAATAGATAATTTCTAATTTCTTAGCGAACATTTATTTATTTTTCTTAACAATGACGTTCAAATTTTTTATCTGTACTCGCAAATCAAAGAAGATTATCCTAGTTTTTGTGCCAACCATGGCTTCTTACTAAAGCGGTTATTTACTTTTTAATTTGAATTTTCATCTAATGCAGTTTATTCGATAATCGATACTTCAAAAAGTAATTATTATTTTATCAATATCGAAGCCACTAAAATATTTTATTCAAAGTCCTTTCTTTGGATATTTTTTTTAATTATAATACAAATTGAGAGGAGCTTTAAGATCAAATTGTTATGTATATTATTTCAAAATTTCATTAAATATAACATTCTTATAGTAATTGTATAACATCCATTTTGGGATTCGTAATTTTTATTTTTTATACAATTTCACACTAAACTTTGTTAAATTACACTAAACAGTATATCAAATACAATAGCCTTTACATATTTATTGTAGAAATTCAATTTAAATCTTTAAATAATATTCATATCAATATACAAATTAAATCCTGATCCTTTTAAATTATTTCATATAATCATCTAAACAAAATCTGTCATGCCGTATTCATTTTATATTTATGCGCAACGTGTGCGCGAATAGATTTTTTTTATTTGTTTTTTCAATAAAAGCTTTAATTATATGATTAGTTTTTTGCTAGATTTATGAAAATAAAATTGCAGCGATAATATAGATAATGAGTTATATATCCTATGCTTACATATAAAGGAAATAATTTATAGAAAGGTGAACTTATTTATTATATGAATTAACTTTAAGTAATTATTACTGAACGAAGATACAACTTTTGAATAATTTTAAAGTTTATTTTTTAATAAGTCTAAAATTTATTAATTAGTAATTAATATGTCGTAATTATAAAACATTAATTGTCAAAAAACATTAATTAACTTATGGCATGGAAATGGTCTGACGATGTTACGATGCTCGAATGTCTGAAAAAGTACGGTGACCGCTACATCGATAATTCAAAGAATTTCGGGAACGCTGACAATGTTTCTCTGTCACTTTACTATACTCTGACTATATATCGTACATTTTAAGCTATTTTTATGTTTATCAACTAACGAATTTTGACCATTGGTGATAATAATTTCTTTTAATCACGATGTGATGCATAAATGAATTATGATTTGGTGTGTTCGTAAACCGTATCTCTTCAGAGCGACTGCTTATATTGCAATAATGTTTTCATAAAAGTACAAGAAATGCTGCTAAGAATATTACACAGAGAATCAACATTCTCATAATCTCAAGAATTTCAAAACTTACAGAAATGTTATGCTAGATTATTATTTGTAGAAAAACAGTACGCTTATAATTTTACAATATTTTTAATTAAATTTCACATATTGAAAATTACCGAAGACAAAATACGTCACGGTAAGTTAGTTCTATTTCAAATGATAAATTTACAGAATACAGAAACTATGAATTGGATGCAAAATTAGAAATAACTGTAAATATTAAATAATGAAAGTTTTATAATAAAGGTTGAAAAATTTTTAGGTCGGCTAAAATCAGATTGCACTGCAAACAAAATTTGGAAATATCAGAAATAAAAAAAAAAGATTAAATTTTTAATGGAATTATTTTAAAATACATTTTAAATACTTTAATGGAACATAAAAAGAATATTAAAAACTATTGAAATCTTGTATTTAATCGATACGGTACCCATGATTTTATCTATACGTAAATTGCAAAGAAAATTAATAGTGAAATGATTTAAAATTTTAATATTGTATAACTTTTTTTTATCTACAACAATTTTTCATCAACCACCATTACGATAAAGAAGAAAATTTTAAATAAACATTTTATTTTATAATTTTAATTGAACATTCCAAAACATTAGGTTTTTAAAGAAATATTTTTTTATAAATTGAATTTCAGTTTAAGAATAATATAAAATATTGTGAAGTAATATATACTTAAATACTAATATATATAAGTATATATATAAGTAATATATGAAGTAATATTTTAAATCAATGAATGTTCATTAAAAAGCTGATATAATATTAAAATACTTTAACTAATAAAAACTACAATAAGTCAATGTTTTTAATATTTTAAAAAATGTAAAAGATAATAATTTTAAGTTATTAAGCAAATTAGTATTCTAGGTCTCGCTGTACATATTATCGATAATGTTAAGTTATTAGAATATTAAATAATAAATCGTATTATAAATGAATTTGTATTTACACATTTATAAAAAAGATACGAAGTTCCAAGAGGAACTTTACTATATAGGAATAATTTTGATAAATATGTACTAAATTAATAATCAGTAGCTCTTCCTAGTTTCATTGATACTTTAACAATCGAATGTGCTTATTTATGTCAAATTATTGAAAGCCTAATTAATTTAATTAATTATTTCGTCCGAAACAATCAGCCGCCATTCTATCAATCAGCAATAAGAGAAGAAGAATCTGAGTGTCTATTTTGATATTACACTCGTTAATTTATCGATTAATTTCGCGAGTGGATGAACAAAATAAAATGGCAGAGTGTAATAAATTTAATCAAACAAGCCTTTATTTTTCTCTTCAATAATTTAATGATAGATATAAATAATTAAGTAACAAATACTACGTTTAAACAGTTTGTTAAAATTAAAATCTATGTAATATTAAATCAAACATTGGTTGAAAATGATAATATTCGATGGATGAAAAACTATTTCCGTTTGGCTAATGTGTTATTTAAAATTATAAAATTATTATTTAATGGTAGACGAAAATTGGATAACTGTGCTATTGTGCATAAATGTAAATATTTGAGTTTTTATGCTTTTGAGTTCGAATCCCAATTATATATTATAAAGCATTTTTTTTTTTTTTTAACGAAACTGTTTCTCAAGAAAATTGTTTAAATTAAAAGTTTAGGCGTGTATGATGCAAATCGTTTATTTTACATAATAATAAAAATATATAAGTACTTTCGATCTGGAATGACATTAAAAATTTAATGAAACTCAATTACTTGATTTATATATAATATAAATGTATTTGATTACGTATTAAAAAATGGTATGCATCAAATAACGCATCAAATTTATTGAATATTAAATTGTATTAAATTTATAATTGTAACGGATAGTTTAAATACATTGTTCATGTAAAAGGAGTTTTTCAATTTATTATTTATTACCTTACTGAATTTTACTTGCATTTGATATTTATGTTTAGTAATGTCATCAATCCTTTTATAATATTGTTATATAATTATTGAAGATAGATATTGAATTGTCATATTAATAGTGACTTTATATATATATATAAAAAAAAAAAAAAAAAAAAAAAAAAAAAAAAAAAAAATGTAAATAGAATAGTTATAGCCCATTTATTAGCAAAATTTAATTATTTAAAATTGATTTTATGCGCACTTGTGGTTATTTTGCACTATTTATACATTGATTATAAAATGTAATAATACTGACCCGGTGTAATATTGGGAAAAGTGTGCCCAGGTAATATTGGTGGATGTTCGTCTTCTGGCGATCTCTCAGATGCGTAACCTTGATCTTGCGGTTCCCCACCTGTCGTCAGCTTGTGCAACTTTAAGTCAACGCATCTTTCTTGTTTATGTTGCTGTTGATGCTATTTTTAAATAATAAATAAAAGCACATGTCAATACATAAATAAAAATGCACTTTCGAATGATTTTAATGAGATTTGATATTTATTCGTGGTAGTTCATTACTTAAAATTGTTCGATTAAACAAAAAACCTTTTAAAAAAATAATGATAAAAGAATTAAAAAAGTCTTTTTTATTTCGTTTGAAAATTTAGTAATAGGCTTTTGTAAGATGATTATTTATTTGTTAATTATGTATAATACAATGTATGTCAAATGTTATAATAATTATGTTTATTAGTGAAAAGAAAAACATTTTATTCGAATTAAGTTTATTATTTAGAAAATTATAAAATAAATTGTTTCATTCGGGGCTTTTTGAGTACGAATAAGCTAATAACAAAAAAAAAAAACAAAAAAATGCGATGCATATACAATAAGATTAAATTTTGAACTGATAGCAACGATCTTTCATTTAATCATGTAACATTTCTCTGATAAACTTTTTAAATAATTTTGCCGTTATGTGCGTTTTATTTTGCATAAAAATTTTCTTTTTGATAACGTGGCATGAAATGCGAAGTATTTACAATATTCTATTTTACACGAAGCTAATAACAAATTGAGGATCACTCTTTAGCTGATTGTTATAATTAGCCTATATTTGGTTTATTTTAAAATAAATTTATAGAAATGGATAGAAATAGTCGTTATTGTAATTACTGAGACTGTTTTGTTTTTTATTTTCAGAATAACTTTACTCACTTAATAATGAGATTTTGATATTGGCTATATTTCAGAGAAATTCGTCTCACTTTTGAAACTACTGATATTCCAATTATTCCACTCACTTGTTTGAGATACACTTCTTTACTACTAAATTTGCTTATAGGTCTACTTTTATTTTAATGTCTGTCTGTTTGTACTTTTATTTATACGATATGCGAGAGTGATTTATTTTATCAATTAAACATCTCTACAACGTAGGGCAACCGTTTCTCAAATTTTGTCCGGACAGCTAACTAACTTCAAATTCATATTTAATATCGAAAAATGAGCATAGAAGAAAAATTATTCCATTCATTTTCTCATAATAAAATTGAGTTTTGAAAAATTTGCACTTTCAAATTTTGTCCCTAAATTACCTTCTCATTTTTGCTTGTCAGATATCATGTTGAGTGGTGAATATTTGTCGCCTTTACGTATTTATATCTATCATTGCAACCTTATCTCAGCTCTTCTATGACATAATATTTATACAACGCACACTTTATATAAATAAAATCAAATAAACTTTTTATGAAATAAATCGTATATAAGAATAACTTTTGTTGATTTGTCGTAAACAAGGCATATATATATATATATATATATATTTAGGCAAACCGAATCATATTTTTAACATTGGATTTAAAAGATTCATAGCAACATAGCAAAAACATTAAAATTTAGCAATATACTCATCGATAATTATAAGAACTGTTTTCAAAGTATCCATAGTCATCTAATCTATTTATTCCTTGATTTATCAAGTATTTAACAATCTATTCTCATCTATAAATCAGCCTTATATTTATTTATATTCATCCTCATGCTCCATTATTCATGCATATTACAAATATCAACCATTTATTTATTTTATTACACATATTTATATTAACAAACATGATATTATTTACGATAAATTTTAATTAATCGTTTGTTTAATAACGTCGTTCTTTAAGCGAATTACATTTATAAATATTTTTGTGCTTTCGTCAAGTGTTGCTGTTATTTCAACGACTTTCATTATGTAGCAAATAAAAATTACAAGGTGAATAAATCAATATATTACCCAACAATATCTATTTTATTATGTTATTCTATTTATATATATATATATATATATATATATTTATAGCAAGGTGAATTGTTAAGTAAATATGGCTGATATAAATTGACTGTAGTGTTTGTTACTAATAAATAACCGAATAAGCCATATCCCATTATTTACAAGTAAAAGATCTAACCGTATGTGGCTGGTGTTGCTGAAGATGATGCTGGCGATGCTTCATTAATTCACAGTCAGGTTTGTGCACCATCTTGAATAATAATTCATCGTCAATTTTATCAATGGAAATACGACTGGCACGTGTCGGCTTATCTCCCAGTTCGCCGAGAGACGGAGCACTGCGCTTCGTTGAATCTTGACTTCGTTTTGGCAATGTCGCCAAGACGTCAAGTTCAGCGCTTCGATGAGTTCGACCACGAGACAAAGTACTGGAATTACGTCGCCATTCATAGTGACGACAGCTACCACTGCCACTACAGGTACCAGCATCCGAACCACGGCTTTTACGCATCGACTCGCTCTGCCGACATTTTGCTAGATCAGCACCTTCCAGTCGGTACCTACGGTCGTTCAGTTTACACTATCAATATTCCTCTAATTCTTCGCTATGCCTATGTTACACAATGTATATGGCTTCTCGCGTGTCAATTTCAAATGGCTTTTACCAATACTTTTGTCATTTCTTTCTATTGCTATTTACAATTTAACAATTTGTTAAAAATTTACAATGAGCATTTTCGTTGTTTTGTGCCAAGTACTCTACAATTCGTTCCAGCTCATTAATTCTATTGTCAGTTTTTAACATTCTATTTTATCAATAAATGAAAATCTATATCTGAATTCATTTCAGCATTATAACAAATAGGGTAATATGACTTTTAACGAATGCTTATCATCGGTACATTTATATCAAAAATATTAATTCTATTCGTAATCTCATGTAAAGCTAGTCTTTATTTAAAATTAAATGCCGTCGCATAAATATAAATTCTTTATGATTAGTTAATATATACGGATGTTAATACATACGGCTATGTTAATAGCTTAATAATAATATTCTTTTACGGATTAACCAAACGGATACAATTTATTGTTATTAAAATACATATTAATGCTTACTTCCAAGGATCTCCATCGAGTGATTCTTCCGATTGGCGTTTTGCTAAATCTAAAGTATTTGTCGATTCACCCGTAAAGTGTGTGGTGTCGGCCCTTTTTTTATGGGGCAAAGTACCACCAAGATTACCACTGATGGTGTCGGTAATTATATTATTATTCTCACTTGGATCATCGTCTAAAGAATCCTTCCCATCAAGATGATTTGGCAGTGAACCGCAAAATTTATATCTGTTGAAATAATAAGGAAGAAGAGAAATTATTATTTTTATCCTTATTATTATTTAAGATTCGCTAATTTAAACGTCAATAAATTATTAATAATTAAATATAATTTAGAAGATTTAGAAATTAGAAATTAGAATAAAGATTATTTAGAAAATAATAGTGCTCCGAAAATATTAAATAACTATAAAAATATGTTTATTTTCTGTTTTACATTAAAATTATAATTAATTAAATTTTAATTATAATTAAATTTGTTATTAGAAATTAGATTATTTATTTTATACATTAACTTAATTCAGATGGATAATTCAAATACTAAGATACTTTCATTATCAAAATGGCAAAATTTATTTATTTAATTTTCAATTTTATTATAATTTAGAAAATTTTCAGTTAAAATGTTTGCAATAAGAGTATGTAAAAAAGTAGTAAAAGTATTGATTACCCTTTATATTTATTAGTAAATTTGTGGCAAATAATATTCAAAATATAGGACATTATCGATAATTTATGGTATTCCTTCATGTATGATTTAATATTATTATGATAAACATTAATGATGTTTAAGCATTTCATGTAATGTGATAAATTGCAAATATATACTATCAAACAGCATAGTCAAGAAATAAAAATATAGTCATAAATAATTAATATAGTATTATAAATTATAAATGATTTTCAAATAAATAAATATTAATAATTTTTATAATGTATAACAGCATTAAATATAAAAGAATTTACATTAGCATGAAAAATAAAATTCCAATATTTATTTATTTTTAAAAACTCTGCACTATATTTTATATTACCTAATTTTTCTAATGTTTAAATAGTAATGATAATATCATAATTGAAATTCTATAAATAAGAGAGCATCGTTTTGAAGATTTTCTTTTGTTAAGAAACGATCGTTATTTTGGTTAAAAGTCCTTTGACATTTGAAATTTATACTTTTCAAAAATGAACTTTTCCAAAATAGTAGTAGAAAATATTCGACTACGCAATAACTGTTTTATCATAGTTTAAATGAAACAACAAAAAGTAATGTGTGCTAGTTGAGACAAAATAAAATATGCTATTGTTATCCAATACACTAACGATATCGCTTGTTAATCAAAAGCAAACTTGTACAGACGATATCTAATGATTCACGTGTGATCTGTATCGATGTCACTTAGTGATTTTGCTGATAAATGCAACAGGCGTTTAAAGAATAAATTAGCGTGAAAAATAAATTTACATTTTACTGCATTCATTGCCAATTTGTTCTTAGCGAGTGTTTTTATACAATTTCGTATAATAAATGACCAAGTCCATATCTACATAGGAATATATATATATATATATATATATATAATTTAATATAGTTTGAAATTTAATATAAAACTCGTTGTGTAAATAAAAGTAAGGAAAACGTTTGTTATGAATAATTAAAATTACAGCGGCAGATTATAGGAATAGAAGAAAAAAATATAATCTATTCTTACTACAAATTTTAATACATAATGAAATTTAATATACATAATCAAAAAATTTCATTAAATATGTACCAATTAGTTTCTAATTCATCCGATAAATCCACCACATAAAAATATTCCAAGGGATAAAATAAAAATAATTATATTAAAATGCTAATTAATTGTACGTATAACTGCAGATATTCATCTTTTTATTGAACTATTCTATAATTATGATTACTTTGTTTTTTCCTCGAGTTTTCTGTCATTGATTATTGTAATGTGAAAAATACAATAAAGTTGAATTTTTATGTAAATATGTTTCTCAGTTAAAAATTTCTATCATAAAAATATATTATTATAAGTCAAACATTATTAATGATATTTAGATTAAATTTACTTTTTCGTCTAAACTCTATTACCATGGAATATTGATAAAAAATAAATAAAATTTTAACGAAAATTATCGCTAGTAGTTAAAATTAATTTTTATTAAAAATTACAAATATAAAATTTCAATTTTTCTTTATCATTTTAGACCGTAGTAAATTAATAATAACAATAATAATAATAAACAGTAATAATAATAAGAATAATATATAAATATATTTTTATTTCCTTTTTAAAAAAACAAAGGAGGCATAATAAATGAAGTCTTATTGTTATTATTATTCGCCTATTTACTTCGAAAATTTTCGTGAGATTTGAAAAAAAAAAAAAACAAAAATAAAATTGAAGGCGGTAATATTGATCTTTTGCTAAATATTATTACCGCGTCTTATAATATTACACGTAAATATCGATGATCAGCTCCATTTAATAATCTCGAACTAACGACTTTCAATTTTAGTGTTCGTTTTAATATCGTTAATCACCCAGGAATTATTAGCGGAAGTAAAATTTCCATGTACATAATATATCGAGAGTTGATGTATAAAAGTCTCCTCAACTTTTAAACTTTATGATAAAACCAATTTTATGGAGAAACGTAGTACGATGTTAATGCATACATGCGAGAGAGATTATACTAATTTTACTATTATAAATTCTTAGTGCAATGAATAGATTTTACAATGAGTAAAGTAATATTATATCGTGTTATTTTTAAGAAATTTTTATTTTCATTTATACTTTTTTCATTTTTAACACAAGATTTTGACAAAAAGTATCTTTTCTATTATAATTCATCAGCTACTGAAATTTACACATAAAAAAAAAATTACAAATAGGAACAAAATATTATAATGAAAAATAAGCATTACAAATACATAATGATAAAAGTAATATTAAAGTTGCTGTTATTGTATCTTTAATAGTATTAATTCATTAGGAATTATCACATTTTTCACAAGCTTATATATGCCGATTTCTTCATAAAAGTATATATATTAATCAACTGTATCGCGTCACTTGAGCAATACTAGAAATTATAAAATGTATATAACTTATAAGGTGGCATTAGAATTCCATCTAAATATTCCTAGTAACAGAGGCATATTCATTCACTTGACAAGTATTGCCATTAAACTCAACTGATACCCGTGAATGGCGTCAATGGGACAAAAACAAACGAAAAATATAATATTTCAATTGGACAAACCTGTCTTTGGACGATCTCGTACAGGGAATGGCTAATTTGCTGATATTGGTGCCCTTAGGGTCGCAAAGGTTTCCCGAAGACTGAGCTCTCCTCCCATTCAGTCCCTTGCCATTATGCCTACTTAGGTTTGAACCCATATCCCACGGTTGGGCTGTCCCTTCTACCGCTGCTGCCTCATCATCGCACTCCACTTGATTCTCTTTATCTACGTAACTTGAAAAGTCACACTGCAGCAAACGAGGCGGAGGAGGCGCCGGGTGCCTTGGCCTTTTCGCCAAGGACGAACCTTCCTGTTTCTGTCGCCGATGTTGATCATGTATCTGTCCCCACTGTTGCTGTTGCTGCTGATGATGATGCTGACGACGATGATGATGATCTTGGTTATGGTGGTGGTGGTGGTGGTGGTGGTGATGAAGCTGATGCTGACTGCGACAGGTCGCGGCTGGACTGTTCAGCAACTTCCAGGAATCATGAAGGGTCGCCGACGCCGGCGAGACTACACCGAGAACCACCTCCTCGCCTGCAACGTAACCATTTTATCCAAATTTACTGAATTTATCTTAAATTGATTTTCTTTTAAAAGAGAATTCTTTTATTGCATTCAAATCTGAAAAGTCGTATTCGCATTTTATAATCGACGACTCGTATTATTACATCAAGTAAGTAATATTCTTGGGAGAATACTGTTAAACAATTTTGATTTAGTCTAACATTTAATCTTTTATTTTAACAAAATGTATTTGTATTAATTGATACAAATATAAAAAGAAATATAAAAATGTGTAGATAATAAGTAATAATAGATGATAGATAATTTTTACTATACATGAATGTAAACTAAAAGAATATTATTTTCATTTAACATTTTGCGTGGATTTATTGATATACATTTCACTATTTCATGCTCTCTCTCTCTCTCTCTCTCTCTCTCTCTCTCTCTCTTTCTCGCTGATTCACTATTTTTTAATTTTTAAGAGGTTTATTTAAAGTCATATATAAATATTTACTTTTAAACGAGTCACCTATTACAATAATAAGGCATCTACAACATTTAAGAAAGGAAATATAAATAATTAAATATTTTATTTATATGCATATAATCTTGAAAAGTCAAGAACGACTTATTTTAAAGAAGAAATAAAAAACAAATGAGCGATACTTTTAATAATTATAAAAATAAAGATGAATATGTACGATGTTTTGTAAAATACTTTACGAAATCAAATTATCTTTAAGTATGCTACGGTGTTTTACGAATCTGAAATAACAAATTTCATTTGAAATTCTAGATTTAATTGCAGTTAAACGAATGTAGATTGAGCTGCAAGGAAGGTGATGTATCGTTTTTGACTACTATAAATAAATAAATAAGCAATACTTCTTTCAAATAAAATTTATACATTAGTGGAGCACTCAGATCTGTAATAAACTTTTAATAAATATATATTATAATACGTATAAAAATATTTGTTATAATATTAGTCTTCAATATATATATATATATATATATATATATATAGGCTGATTTAGGTTAATCGTGTTTAGAATGTGTATGTTAAATAATGCGAAATAAAGAAAACGTATTTTAAAATAAAATAAAAATTTTTTCTTAATATCGATTGGGTGGGTTTTAACTATTGTCAGCATCTACGGTATATATATGACAGAAAGAATAATAACAGAAACATTAACGAATAATTAATCTAATTCCATTGGTTTATAATATTTCTAAATCGTTAACTACAATAATTACACTCTTAATATTATTTTTATGAATAAAATGATAGCTCAACTATTATTGTCTAATGCATATATGATAATTTATTCAATGTTATAAGTCTATAAACATTGAATAATATTTATATTTTTTATTTATTTATCTTTTTCTATTCTTCTATTTATCGCACATAAATGATAAAAATAATATTGATATTTTAAGAAGAATAATGATAGTGATATCTGTTGATTGATATAAATTCTTTGTTTAGTGTTTACTTAATCATACAGATGCTATGTAAATGCGAGGGAATTGATAATTTTAGAAAATTACTTATGTTTAGAACGTAAAACCCAATGCCAATTCGTTATTTCATGAGGTAAACAGATTATTCTAAAATGTTTACGATTATCGGAAGGATGTATAAGATTCTTAATCTTATAAAGAACTTCTCGTTTCTTTTAAAATTCTTTTATTTGATTATAATGTTAGTTGTTGAATTCGTAATGCGTTTGATAAACAATGCGTTTAAATAAACAATAATTTATTTAAAGAAATTAATAAATGAAGCGTTACTTACTTTACATTAATACAACTTGCTGATTTTAAGTTGAGATAATGTAACTATTATAGAACAGTCTATTTTACTTTTGCATTCGTAGAAAATATTTGATATTCTTTAATACTCTTTTATGGATTTTACTTCATAATAATATGATATTTATGGTTTACTATATTAAAATTGTTTTGTAAAATTTTGTTCACACCAGCACGTAATGAAATCATTCTAAAAAATTTAAATTAAAAATTGTAAATAATTTTTTTTATATTGCGAGGGCAGTGGTAATTTTAATTACAAATGCTTGTACAAATATGTTTTAATTACGTATTTTATTCATTTGCTCATTTTATTCAAATGCTTTTTCATACAATTATAGAAAATTGTAGTTTACACGATTCGCTAAGAAACAAAAATTATTTATTATGCAAATTTTTTCCATATTAACAATAATAAAATGCAATTCATGTTTTTAATGAAATTTTTATTCAATGTTTTTCTATATTAAAATTGTTATAGTATGTTATACAAATTTGTAAATATTAGTTACCGTTCTTCAATTTCTATAATTCAAGAATTTACCTACAAATTTAAAAGCATATTAAATAAACTTAAATAAATAAAATTTATTATTATATTTTGTAAATATTTTAAAAGCTACTTTATTATAATTAATTCAAATCTGTAATTATATCAATGAATCTTTGATTGACGTTAGTGAATGTAATTGACGTTTAATTGAGTTTGAAATATCTTTAAAGGAAAAAAATATATAAATTATTATATAATTGATTATACGGGTGTTACTGTGTAGATTCTATACATAGATCACCTAATATTAAGTAATTTATTTAAATAAATTATATGTAAATAAAAATGTACATTAATTTATTATAGATTTCAATGTTGTTTTTATTTTTCTTTAATATAATATGGCATAAATATATAAAATATTTTTGTGTATTTTAATTTCAACTTATTTATAAGACTCGAGAACTTGCTCAAATTATATATTCTTGTTAAATTGGAACAATAAAATATCTAAAAATTATGAATAATATTAAACAGAGTTGTACTCTCATTCTAAAGTATATTGCAACGATCCAATGAGATCGAAGTATTTGAAATTCACGAGCTTATAATACTGTGTTTCAACATTTTTGTAATAATCAATTTTAATAATTAACCATGTCTTCGTATCTTTCACTACAATGTCTGTTTAATATAAATGTTTAATATAATCGTCAATGAATGTATCGACTGTATGCATGAAGTTGCCACGATTGCAAAAAAAAACAGGAAAGATTTATTGATTTTGAACTTTTAATCAATAAATAATACTAAAAAAAAAAAAAACAAATAAATATTTATGAATGAGTAAACCAATTAGTTTATTTATGTATTAATAATATCAATCACCAAAATGTATGAAGAATAACATTTAAATTCTTAACTCTCAACAATATGTTGCCCACTTCAACCCTTTTATTTCATAAACGGTGCATCTGCGTACAACAAAGACTTAAAATTCGAACGCGCTGCCCACAAATTACGCTTTTCTCTTTCATTTTATTAAACGTCTGCTAATTGCAACATGGAACGCCTGCATGGAATGCAGTTACGCCAACACGAAATGCTTTTTATCGTCTTCTTTGTGTTTATGCTATGATGTGCATTATCAACAGACCTGCTGACATATTGTTGCGACCTTTGACCTTTTCTCTCTTTTAAAATTTCTTTAATATTTGTTGAAGGTAATCGATTTATATCGTGAAAAACCGCAATAATGTAATGTACACTAATGCCATTTATATTTTTGTCCTGACAATATCGCTTTGAAAAGTATTCGTTCAAACTACGTTCTTTTCTAGTTAAAAACATAATTATTGTTAAAATATTATAAATGTCATGGAATTGTTTTTAAAAATTACTTTGTTCTTTTGCCATTTAAAATCAAGAAAAAACATTGATGCAAGATAACGATTGGTTTTTCAATAATTCCTATATGTGGAATATATGAGATTATTTATTATAAACTATTTGTAAGTTCATTGATAAAAATAATATTTTTGGAACGATAAAATATTCGAATTTAGAATTAACAAGAAATTGTTTTAAAAAAAAAAGTATAAATACTTTCATCGTAATTTGTGTATTTGTAACAAAAAATTGATAATTATACAAGAACTGAAGCATTTCATCGACAAATTTATGGTGCAGTAAATAAATAATTAAATTTATTTAACAACGTGATAAGCTAATCATCATAATCATGTAAATATTGAAAAAAATACTAACATTTTCCATGATCTCTTACATTTTACTGAATTTCATTAATAAAAATTAATATAAGATTAATACTCGATGGAAATATAATTCCATTTATTAATTGTGAATCTTTTAGGAAAGAAATAATTAAAATTTCTTTTTTGTTAGAAATTTAGGCAAAAATTATTATTGCATTGGGTGATGCGATTATGGTAATATTTCTATTCCTCGTAAAATTATTATAGTATTTTCAATGCAAAATAGTTGATTATCATTTAATTTTAATATCAAAATTTCCACCTAATTGCTCTATATAATATGTATATATGATGTCAAAAAGAAAAATGTTGTGCGCAGTAACAAGGCATAATATTATGAGAATAATAACTTTATTGTAAATATTAGAAACCGTTGATTCACATTATATATTTAGAGTCTTGAGAAGAATCTAGATAATCGAACAAAGAAAAACAAAGTGAGGCAAGAGAGAGGAAGGAAGAGGGAGAGAGAGAGAGAGAGAGAGAGAGAGAGAATAGAACTTTTTTTTTTAAACTGATCCATATCAAATTTAAGTTTTAATTAGTCCTTAAAAGTATTGATTGCATATTTTACTTCAATTATCAACATATATAATTATATATTTTTACAATTAGTACATAAAGATTATAAAAAGTAAACAATTAATTTATTTACGATGACCTTTTTCTATTTTATTTAAATATATATATATATATATATATATATATATATATATATATATGTGTGTGTGTGTGTGTGTGTGTGCGTGTGCGTGTGTGTGTATACATGCACCCATTTATTTCATATTGTTTATTTAATTTAATAGGCGATATCTGTATACAAAGTTTACATGATCCTTTACAAAACCGATATGGATTTATAAGCAGTATGCAGTTGTCAGATTAATACATAAAATTATTAATAAAGTTTTGAGAATTATATATTATACCATTTTTTAGGTCACGAATACTGTAATAAATTATATTTACAGGCTTTGAATAGTATGATCGAGTAAATTATAAATGCATGTAATTTTAATCAAAATGTAAAATGTTATGAATTCATTATTTTTTTTTCTATTAATTAAATGACAAATACAGAAGGTTTCTTCAATATATTGAAAGAAATTCTATAATTACATTTATATTAATACAATAATATTTCATATTTTCAAACGTATAGATCGTCAAACACAATATTTATTTAAAATATAATTATATTCGTAATTAAAATAGTATTTATCCTTAAATGTTAGATGACTATTGAATTGCATATGTTCATAATTTCTCTGTGTATATACAGCTGTATAATCAATTGATATTAATTCTTGATAAGAAAATAAAAAAAAAAAAATAAATAAATAATTAATCTTTGAATTAAACAAAAATAAGGAGCAAAAGTTTTTATAGATAATTAATATATTTTTTGTATTCATTATGACGTATCGGCTGTATAAATACAATATTTAGCCTCAAGTTTGTTCGCATATGTTGCAATTACAATTTCAACTACAGCTGGTATGAAACATAGATGACGTTCGTTAATTAAAAGTAAAAGAAAAAAAAAATAATTGTTTTCTCTCTATAATACACTGAATATTGCAATGCTGTTAATGTTTTGGTATCCCTTAGGGTAGAGGAAGTTATTGACTAATGAAAATGATGAAATATGTACAAATCTATCAAGAGTGGTAGAAAAGGCTTGTTGGACTCGATAACATTATTGTGTTGATGTTTCATCAACAGATATAAAATAATACAGCGTAAATAAGTTTTCTCATTATTGATAAAATGCCGAAATATTTATTATGAGAAGATTAAAGTGAAACAGAAAATAATACATACAATTGTGTTAATAAGCACAGTGGCAGGCGCAAGAGCGCGCGCGCACACATATTAAAAATACACGATGTTATAATGCTCGCGTGGTGTATTTATTATGACTGAGTAGATATAATAGACACATGTGCAAATTCCATTGTTCATCCATCATTGAAATCTTATCCATCTTCCGTAACAACATGTGAATTGCCAGATATTCTTAGCCAACTATGAATGCCGATAATTTGATATGGATGCCTGTAATTTCTGTTCATTCGAGTATCCACGGCATCTTATTTGAAAGAGAAATTATCTACGCTACCGATTTGCGTGCACGTCGTGTACTTATTATAGTAGTGGAATACGATTATGTTTTTTCTCAACATTGGTGGCACGACGGCACATTAAACGAGTAATGCATCATGACACTCGGTATTTCTAAATACTCTGGAAGTTTTCACAGCACGTGAAGTCTGTTATCTTAATGAGTAATGCATCGTTAAGGAAAGCACGTAAGTTCAGTATTTTTATGATACACGCACTCGTATTATCACACAATGTTTGAATCCTAAGTGGAAAAATACGTATATAAAACGATATTTGTTCTCTATTAGATTATTCCGAATCCAAGTTCGAGGCTACAGTTTCATCGTATTATACTCGTTATATGCAACAAGATGACTAACAATAATAGTAATTATCTATTTAATTAATGATTTGAAACAATTTTTACTCTTAAGGTTTTAAGATACATGAGAATATTATTAAAATAATAGGATATAAGGAGAAGATGATAATTTTAATTACTAAATTACGATATCTCATACAAATTTATAAACGGTCAATCAATCGTTATAATTAACGTTATTTTACTCTATTTTTATCCTAAAATATTTTTCACGCTGTATTTTAATTATTTAAAAAAAAAAAAATGAAGAAAAAAAAGAAAAAAAAATTCGCGGATAAAGCCATTGAAATTGGTTTTGCTGTGAAGAATCGTAGATTAAAAAACTATAAAAATTCAATATACATGGATATTTAATATTTAATAGTCAACGAGAGGAACGTAATCGTGCCTGGCAAAATAAAATTCTTTATCAGTTGTATATTAAATAACAAATTATAATTTAATAAATACTTTAATGAATCATCGACTTTATTTCGTATATTATTTTACAATAAAAAAATTTATCATTGTTTTGAATTTATTTTTCATAGATGATCTAATGTTATTGTTGTTTTTTTTTTTTTTTTTTGTCTTTCTTCATCCTAACATTACATCTGCGACATTAATCTAATCTTCGAATTTGTATTTGACGTGGAATTGCCATTCGTTTTCTTATATTCATCTTATTTCTCGGGGGATTAGGTTATGGACCACGGGAACAAGTCAGTTGGAATAGTTGAGAAAATGTCGACTCTTATCTCAATCGATACATCAAATCCTATTGTTCTTAAGAAAATTTTTGTACTCATTACGTATGTAATTACATACAAAGTTTACAATTCTCTCGTGTAATTTTAGTTTGACATTGAGCTGTAAACTTTGTCGTAGACAACAAAACCGTTAAATCATTCGAATTCACCGTTCTTGTCGTCGTTGTTGTCATTTTTTTTTTTTTCCCCCTTCATCGAACGATTTCCTCAAATTGTATTTCCATGCCGCTTCTCAGGCAGCACTTTATGTTTATTGTAATTTGCAAATGCATTATTTTATCTCGATAACGAAACGCAGAGTGCACCTGCAGTTCATATACTTATCAATCGATTATCAGGAAGAATAAACGCGACCGAATCTCTGAAATTCCCTTCATTCTTTATTGCGAATAAGTTTTATAAATCGCAAGCGCATCCTTAATGTAATCGCTACGTAGAGGGATCAATGCTGGCACGTGGCACATCCACGACATTTTCCATGGCATGTAATTAACAACCGAATAACGTACATTCGTTCTACAAAGTTAAGCTTTTCAAAATCCGTTCGATTTTTAAAATCGACTGCAGTTGGCGACGGTACTAGTGCCCATCCTCCAAGTATTTCAATTATTAAGTTTGGACAGTTGATTGCTCGTTGCTGCGCGATTATTTATTTACACTTTATCGATAACTGGCTAATTCGTATTTATTAAAATGCCGTGGAACTCGTTACGAGCTCGGGCATGTTGTCGTCGTAAGCGGCACAACGAACAACGAACAACGAAGGCTTGAACAATGGAGCTAAAGAGCAGGGGTGTTCCCTTTCGATTCCCTTTGGATAACCGATGTATCTAATCATCCTCGGATCCTCTTCCGCTATTGTAACGAGTCTCGTTCGCGCGTCTCCACCTCCACCTTCGCTGCTTACCCCTACCCACTCCCTCCACTCCCCACACCCCCCACCCAACATCCACCCGTCCCCTATCCCCCGTACCCCGTCACCCGTCGCCCGTCGCCCGTCCCATCGCGCAGCTATCCAAGACCGTACAACACGCCGCCATAACGACATTCCACGGCACGGTAAGGCGCACACAAAGCCCGTTGTTGCGCGCGGCTCGGTGTCTTCAGCGACATATACCTTGCATATTTTCCTTGCAGCGCGTCATCGCGCGAAAAGACCTTATCATATTTCCGAATGTGGATATGCGAGAGGGCGACTCCTCTCCTCTCGTCGCTGGACTCGACTCTGCCGCGTCGAAGCCAAGTACCAACAGCTTCGGCACCAGCAGCAGTGGTGGCGGCGATGACGGTAGCGACGTCGGCGTTCCGGCCGCATTCCGCGCCGCTTACGATATTTCATTCGGATAATCCGAGCAGCCGAGCAGCGCCGACGACTCGACGATCGCCGGAAGAAACGACGTAAAGAGAAGCTGGACGGCCAAGGCAAACTAGATCACTCACTTAACTCAGCACTGGGAGCGGTGGCGCGGGTGTGAGGAACGCGAGGAGGACCACGAGCACCACAGGCATTACGAAGAGGCGGTCGCGGAGTAACGAGGAGCAGGTGTGCGAGGTGCCGCGGACTTTGACGAGTTATTCTCGTGGGTAGAGCCGCTGGCGAACGTAACTGGCCATAGGCACCGACGCGATTAGCTGCTCCTCGTCTATTTCGGAAGCGTGCCGCCGGATTTTATTGGCGAGCATGACGCGCCGCCAGCCAGTTTCTTCCCCGGTGGAATGCGCTCTGGTACGTGTGCACGAGAGAGAGAGAGAGAGAGAGAGAGTGAGCGAGTGAGTGAGTGGGAGAGTGAATGAGAGAGATAGGGTGGGGGGAGGTGACGGGAGAGGGGGTAGCGAGTCGGTAGCGCGCGCTATGCCCCGGTAGCTAGCTGGAACATTTCTGAGCACTCTCGCGATCCTCCTTGTCGTGGAGAACAAGCAACAACGGTTGAGAGTCGAGCCGAGCGAGCGTCTCCCTCTCGGGAACTCTTTCGTTCCTTCCTGCCGCCGATGAGCCAAGCTCCGGAGAATGGCCCCTCTACCGTGCGCTCCTTCTCTCTCATTCCGCAGCCTGCGTTATTACCTCCGCTGCGAGCCGAGTGCAGTCGACGGTGCCTGTGCTGTGCCACCGGCCTCTTTGCCTCCCTTTCCTTCTCACACGCACACACGGCTGGGCGCGACTGCGAGCGAACATCGGGAGCATGTGGGCCGAAGCGACGCCTCTACGTGCGACGCGCACTTTCGCGTTTTTAGTGTAGCGTTGGCATTTCCTTAACCTCCATAGTATATATACTCCCACTCCACACATACTCCACTCCCACTCTACTCCTACCTTCGCCGACCGAATAATTGATGCATTTTATAACGAATTCTCCTTGTGCTCCCTCCAATCCCATACTTCTGGCAAGTCCTTCTTGACTTATTTCAACCGATGACCTTGTTTTCCTTAAAGCTTAACAAATTGCAATGGAGCTTACACTCGATTTATCGCTTTAACTCGAACGCATCCTTTATCCTTCACGTAAGATTTCGTTGGCGTTTAAACTCAATCGTTCCTCGTTTTTAATTCCAAAGTCCATGTTGATCGTGTTTTCTAAATTCTCCGCCCTTTTTAATCGCTCAGAACATGTTTCCATATTGGCCTATCGAACATGTCCCATTGAATATTTCAATAAGGAAAATACTAGAAATTACATTAAACCTGACTCGTGACTCGCTTCCTTCCACACAACTGTTGAGCCCCCCTCGACTTACCCACATCGCAAATATTTCATTTTAAAGTTTCCTTCCAAAGCTCCATTCGCGACATTGCTATTTTCCAAAATCATCATTATAATACATTCAATCTGGGACATATGATATAGGTATATAGACATATGATATATATATATAGTATCCAAAACCTTTGTAACAAAATATTGAAATATTTTGTAAAAATATTTCTATAAAAAAATAACCAAGTCTATAACCAAATTTCAAAATAATATTCTACATTGTAAACAAACGAATGAAAATACATTTTTGACTTTCATTGAATAAAATAATAAGAAGTTAACCACAAGTGGATTTTACACAATTTTGCATTATAACGAAACATTTTAATTTATATTACAACTCGATATGTGCCATTTGAAATAAATTTGGCAATTCACAAAAACTGAGCAAAAATTAAATGTGATAAAATGAAAAGCTTAGGAATAAATATTTATTAATTTGAATTAGTTTATAATTTCTAATTCAGTTAAAACATTACTCATTGTCCGTTTTAATACCGTTTTTTTTTTTGTTATCTAATTAAAAAAAAAACTACTTATATAGGTAAATACAATATTCTTTAATGAAATATAAAATTAAATAAGGAATTCTATATGCGGCAAGTTTAAATTTTTATCGAAATAATTGCTTTAATAGGGTCAACAGCGAGGACGATCAATATATATATATATATATATATATATATATATACATACAGCTGAAAATAAAAAAAAAACTGTTAATTGATGTAATCTTATATTTTATTTGTTATTCTCTTTTAGTATCTCCGTAGAAGTTTATCATTGTTTATCCTTTTTATAATACTTATTATAATACATGATACTTTATTTGTTTATTATTAAACAAATATAAAACATACGAGCTATACAATTATTACAAGAGGACAAAATAGAATCGTATTAGATACCATGTTTTCTGCATAATTTATACGACTGGACATTGTTACAAAAAAAAAAAAAAAAGTAGCTTCTAGTTTTAAGGTTTTGAAAAATTAGAATTTTAAAGTATAGTGGAAATAAAAAGGATTTTGGTTGCGAATTTTACGAAAGTTTAGAGGAAGTTTAGGAAAATACTATACGAAGAAAGTGTAAAAACTTGTAATGAAACTTTGAAATTTCAAACTCTTATCAAAAGCATTTTTATTTTCTATTGTCTTAAACTTTATCGAATCTGAATTAAAAATGAAAGATACGGCAGCTCTTTATATCTTTACCGTATTTCTCTACATTTCTATTGTATCACTCTACTCTATATGCTACTTTCTATATAAATACATAAATGTAAATATGCTGGCCGCTAATTCATCATCGTCGCATTTTAATATAAAATGTTGCGTTAATTTGACGGTAACGAAATGCCGAACTACGGCAAATACCGATACTAATTAAAAGCCGTGCTAATAGTGAAAAAGCAGCAGATGAGCAGATGAATTACCGAGGAAAGGCAAAGAGAAAAAAATATACAGGAAGAATAAAATTCTATTTATATGAAAAATTTTAACTGAGCTTCCAAATGAAGTTTATCTTTAAAAGTTCACACCTATTGTTCATACTGTTCATACCTGTGACATCTGCTAATTATGCTCGAGCCGTTGGAAGAAAATTAGCGCTTTCTCAATGAGCCGGAGGGTGGAAGAAATGACGAACCTCAGGGTCCTTTAAGTCAAAGGAAGTGAAGTGGAATGAGGAAGGAAACTTCTCTTTAGAGATCTACGAAGACTCAAAGTGGATCGCAAACGAATGCAAGCGTTGCTAATGGTCGCTGCACCATAATCATCCAAGTGAATCATAATATCGATTATAATTTCCGTACCTGCTTAATGAGTTCTGCAGATGTAAAGACAAATATAATCTTTTTGTAAGTGCTTTGACTTTGGTTATTGAATGGTTGGAGAGAATTTATTATTATTACCATAAATTATTATTTCTCAATCAATTGAACTTTGCTACGTGTTCGTACAATAGTGCTGATAAATTGTTAGTTTTAATTATTGAGAGCTTCATTAAATAAGTACTATTCTTAAATTATCAAAAGCTTTTATTTGTAATTACATATAATTACGTAATCAATTATTTATGTATCAATAGATCATTCAGAGCCTTGGAGATTTTTCATATTATGTTTAATCATAGATTTATTTATCGTAAACGGGAACGGACGTTGCATTATCTACAACAAATATTTTATATTGAATTCATTATATTACATAAAATATTTTTATATTTAATCAATAACTATATTATTTATTATATAATTTATTTGTGTGTGTGCGCGCGCGCGCGCGTGTGTGTATTATTTATTGCGATGAGCGTATAACTAATTTATTTTCTTAATGAAATTCGAATAATTTATTTTATATTTTTACTTGTGAATTTCCATTTATTCAAATTACTGTTATTCTCAATATTCAGTATAATATTTACAATATTAAAAGATGCTTATATATATATATATATATATATATATTTAGTTTATTTAAATTTATAATGTAATAAGTAATGATATGCTTATATTTTAGATACAATTCCTTACAATACTAACTTTTTTATGCTTTAACATAAAAGTTTTTCTAATTTTTTATTCGCAATTCAATATGTATGTTCACATATTCATAAATGAGACATATATTTATATAAAATGCAAAAACATTTTTAATAAATATTTTTATAAATTAATGATGATTTAATAATATGTTTGTTAATATTTTTAATAAATTTCTAATGCACATTTTAACTTACAATATAATAATAGTGCATATTTTTCAATTATTAAAATTAATTTCTTCAATGTTATTGCATTAATATATTATTTACCAATTCAATAATTCGATAATTAATGATGCCATTTTTAAGTGAAAAAAGCTTAAAAATATTAGTTTTTCCTCACTGTTTTCAATTTATTTTTAATTATATTTACTTACATCTTCATCACTTCCATAATTTTAGCCAAATACATACTGATATAATAAGTATAATATAGCTTATTTAATTTTTCATAAATAATATATCAATGATACATTATGTTTTTAAAATCTATTATTGTAATGGTTTTAAATATGTAAATTATTAAAATAGTAAGAAAAACGGTGTTTCGTTACATGATAAATATAAAATAATATGGAGCTATAGTCATATCACAATAGCAATGATTGAATATTTAGTTGTTCAATCGACTATTTATGCTAATCATTATGTTGAGAAGCTAAAACTGTTTTCATTGATTTATGTTTTTCTGAAAAATGATGCAATTATGGGTTCATTCAAACGATATGATACAATTTTTCATGTATCTATATATATATTTTATATATATATATATATATATATATATATATATATATATATATATATTGATATGTAATGATAATGAAAGCTTGGCTTTCGTCCTCTTAACTCACTTTTCATTTTTAACTTTCATTCGGTTCATAACTATATCTATAATTATATAAACTTTAATATAGCGGGATTTGTAATGAAATGTAATGGCATTTAAAATGGAATTTCTTTAACAGATGGATGAAAATTAAAAGATCGTGAAAGACATTTAAACGTGCACTTGTAGAAATGGAAGGTGAAGTTTTTGTTGATTAAGACACTTATGCTTAAGTAGAAAACTGAATATTTATTATACTATCATTCCTAAGTTTGCTTTGAAATTTTATATTTTTAATTATTATTAATTTTAGATACATATATGTTAATAATCCACTTGGTACTCATTATCAAGACTTTTACAATGAAATATAAAATGAAAGAAAACGTGTAAATATTAATTAATTATAATATGCTTATCCTTTGACATTATAAAGTTCGTTTTTAATTATATCTTATCTTATATTTGGCACAAGGAAAAAAATAATAATAAAAAAATTTCATATTAAAACGAGAAAATTTAACGAGTTTACTTTTCAAAACATATATTATAAGAATTTATCTGACCTAAAGATCTTATATAATTCTTATTTATATATCG